AATTAGGGGCATTCTAGTAACTTCCTGTATCACTGTACTACACCATAATATAAATAATAGTACTGTCGACTGAGCAGTGCAGTTCGACATTCCAGCATCTCTTCTTCTTCTTCTTCTCTTTTCTGCTACTTCGGCTACAGTAATTTAGCTTTCAGAGCTTTTTGCTGTTTTTTTTTTTTTTCTAATGATTTTTTGAGAAATTGGAAGTGGCTAACTCAGAGTCTCACAAGGCCATTGCAAGCCCCCTTTGGGTTCTTCCCGCCAGTGGCTATATTAAATGAAATTTTGATGGGAGTAGTGGTGGAAACCCAGGCCCTTCTAGTATTCTGGTCCAGTAGGAGTGGATGACTCACTGAGGGCTGAGGTTCTGGCTGTTATGGAGGGAGTGAGGGCAAAAGAAATGAACTTGAGTAAACTGGTAATAAAAGGTGTTCAAAGCTGGTGGTGGATTGGCTGCAAAAGGAAGGAATGGGTTTTGGGTTCTTTAATGGTGAGAAGAAGAAGTTCAAGTGGTTGACACAGAATATGAACGTGAAAGTTAACTGGGTCAAAAAAACTGTTAATGTTTTTGTTGATGTGATTGCAAAACATGGGGTGAGGAGAAGTCAATTATTTTGGGTTCAGTTGTAACTGATAGTTGGTTGTTGTTCATTGAGGAGAGTTAATAAAGTTTACCTTCCCTCTTCTTGTAATCTTACAGTTTAAAATCAATGAAAATTTTCTGTTACTGAGAAAACTGAAATTGCTGTTTTGTACAATTATACCATTTAGCACTATTAACTTCTTGGGATCAATATCAGAATTTTATAAGATCATAATTTTCTGTAACTTGTTTATTCTCTTTTCCTAACAGGCTTTCTGTGAGGCCTTGATGGTTGAAAAGGTAATGGACAATGATGATTTCTTCATGATGGGTGGCAATTCAATTACTGCAGCACAAGTTGCTCATACGCTGGGAATTGATATGAGGTTGTTATATGTCTTTCCAAGCCCATCGAAGCTTCAATATGTTATTGTAGAGAGGGAAAGGCTGTATAAGGATGATATGAGCATTAGCCATGATTGGGAAGAAAATTCAAAAGCACAAAAGCATAGCTTTCTTCAGTCATTTGATTCATCTATCTCTGGTCCCTCCATCTCTAAGTCACCTGAAAGGCCATTGCAAGTTCTTTCTGGACATAACGACAGTTCTGTTAGTTCTAAATATTTGAAAGTGGATTCATTAAATTCAAGTATCCTTTCAGAGAAGAGATGCTCATGGATTTCCAACCTTGATGTATCCACAGCATGTTCATTCAGCCGTTGTAACATGGTGATGCCTGAAGGGGAATATGAAGTTAAGGATCAGTGTCAAGCAAGCTGGTCAGTTGAGATCCCAAGAAATGGAAAGGGGTATTTGCATGAACTGTGGCGAGTTCATCTGGAATCTTGTGTTGATGCGTCACCACTAGTTGTTATCCATGGTGGCCATATGTACTTATTTATTGGATCTCACTCACATATATTTGTCTGTGTTGATGCCATGAGGTGAGGATTTTTTTCGGAGTTTTGTTATTCATTTGTTAGACTTAATTTGGAAATGATATTTTCCTTTGGAGCTATTAACAGATGTTTTATGCATTATTCATTTTTATCACTACAGAGAGACTGGTGTCACTTGGTCCCTACAAACTTAATGTAGTTGTTTGTTTTTATGAATCCAACTGGCTTAAAATTGAAGTAATGGCCAAGGAACAAATGTGAAAATTAAGGAGTTGTTGGACATTCAGGTGGCGTTTGATAAAACTGAATTCTGATATCTAAAAAGCAACAATCTATTTGTGATTTTAAAGTCTGGATGGCTAGAATTTGCTTTTTGGCTTTTCTATACCTTTGGATCTAGTTGAACCGTTTGAATATCTGAATGCTGTAATATCTGAAAATAAATTGTTTTACAAATTTACCCATCTGAAATTATTTGTTTTGTAAACTTGAATGCTGTAACATCTGAAGTGCATCTACTTTTTAGCTTGTATGTAATAAATATTGTTTATGGTTTTTTTTTTTTGAGTTTTATATGTTTAGTCCCTGCAAATTTACCATTATATGTCAACATAAGTACTACATACTTGAGTAAGGGCAATCATTACAATCAGGATAAAATAACATAAATATAATGATTATGTACTAAACCACATGACAAATAAAAGATGCATGTGACAGCTAATTATGATCCTTCCTCATGAGTGTCCTATGAAGGCTCTCCTCAATAAATGTTGTTAATTATGAGGCTCATTATCAACTCATCAACTCAATAGAAATTTTATGTTTGTTCCATTGTGGGCATGGTAGGAAAACTCTCCCATTGTTTTCTAATGTCCTTGCCCTATGGATGAAGGTGTGATAAACTCAAAAATGGATATCTATCTTTTGACAATGACAGACCAATTTGGGTTTTCAGGTGGAACCTTAGGGAGTTAGAAATTCCCCAGGTATCTAATATGTTAAATATCTTAGAAGGGGTGGTCTTTGACATTTCTAAGGGGGATGGTCGTTTGTGGGCCCCCACTCTTTTTTCAATTCGTTGGTAACCTCTATCCCCTCTCTACTTTCTTTTCCTATGAAGTGTGGTATGCCCCCATACCCCCTAAAATTGCTGCCTTCTCTTGGGAAGTCTTCCTTGGAAGCATCAATACTCTTGATCTTTTATGTAAGAAAAGACCTTGTTGGTTTCTCTATCCAAGCTGGTGTATCTTATGCAAATCTAATGGTGAGACTGCATTCCACTTACTAATCTCCTGTCCATTTGCTTGCTGTATTTGGGATTAGTTTCTTGCTTGTTTTGGATGCAGGTGGATCCCCCTGTTAGTTTGGATAGGTTGTTTCGAGGTCTAATTTTAGATGCCAGAAGAGGAGGTTATCTGGAAGTGTACAAGGGCAGTGATGTTGTGGACGCTGTGGGAGGAGATGAACCTAACATTTGAAGGAAAAGAAAAAAAGAGGCTGTTATCAAAACCATCACAGTAAGGGTAGCACACTGGTAAAGACTTTGGACCTTTTTTCAGACTTCAGAATGGATGACTTCTTTAGGAACTAGGGTGCAATTGCAAGCTCTTCACATAAGTAACCAAAGGCAAAGAAGGATTGGTCACCACCACCTAGTGGTTGGCTGAAATTGAACTTTGATAGGAGTAGTTTGGGAAACCCAGGTCTGTTTGGAGTTGGGGGAATAGTTAGAGATGATAAGGGGAATATAATTGCTTTATTTTCAGGGCCTATTGGGCAAAATGGCTCTATTCGAGCAGAGCTAATGGCTGCAGTGATTAGATTGCAAAAAGCAAAGGAAGTGGGTTGTGATAAACTAGTTGTTGAAGGTGACTCCAAAGTAATTATAAGCTAGCTATTGGATGGAAGTAAAGCTAATTGGTGTTACAGAAATGAAATCAGAATGTTTAATGGGATATCAAGACATATGCAAATAAAAATACAATGGGTACAAAGGTCGCAAATGGCTTGGCTGATGGTTTAGCAAAGCAAGGGGCTACTTGACATCAGCTGCATTGGGCTCAATTGTAAGATCTGAATTGGGGTGGGATAGCAGGGGCTATGCTCACACTCTATATTTGTATTGTGTGGTGATTCGTGGGGATTGGGAGAGAGAGAGGAAAAAAAGTCACTACTGGCTGCCACCAGTTTTCTATTTATATTAACTTCATAAAAGAATCAGAAATTACAAGTATGCCCCTGGCGGCATATCCTAGAATCA